CTTCTCTCAGCAAGCACAAAATATAGAAGCTATAAAGGCTGATTTTACCACATAAAAATGTTTTAAGTTTATTAGTATGAAAGATATCCCAATGCTAAAAGATAAAGATAAGGAGAAGATATTTAAAATATCTCAAAAGACAAAGGTTAATATTTATATTTTATAAAGGGCTTCTACAAAGCTATCAAAACAAACAATCCAATAGAAAAATGGGAATAATATGCAAATAAGTGATACATAAAACTTAAAAATCTATGGCTAATAAACTAACAAAAGATATTCCATCTCATTAGTAGGCAGAAAAGTGCAAATTAAAAACAATAAAATATTAGGGGTGCTTGGCTAGCTCAGTGAGTGAACACATGACTTTTGATCTTGGGATTGTGAGTTCAAGCCCCATGTTCGGTGCAGAGATTACTTTAATAAAACAACAACAGGGGTGCCTGGGCAGCTCAGTCAGTTAAGCAGCTGCCTTCGGCTCAGGTCATGATCCCAGGGTCCTAAGATCGAGCCCCACATCGGGCTCCCTGCTCGGCAGGAAACCTGCTTCCCCCTCTCCCTCTGTCTGCTGCTCTGCCTACTTGTGCTCTCTCTCTATCTCTGTTAAATAAATAAACAATCTTTTTTTTTATAAATAAATAATCTTAAATAAATACATAAATAAAACAACGCACACACAATAAATTATTAGAGCGGCAAAAATTTAAGGATAAATAATTTTATTGTCACCAAAGGCGAGGAGAAATGGGCATTCTCATACACTGTTGATGGAAGGCATCCTGGGTATAACTTCTTTAGAAGGCAGTTTGCTAGCAGCTACCTCCATGAAAAAAAAAAAACCCAACCAAACAAACAAAAAACCATCCCATGAACCAAGAGCTTCATCTCTAGAAATTTATTCTACAGAAATATATCTGTGAATAAAGATATAAGAATAAGGATATTCAATAAATTATTTGTAATAATCATAGAAGTAGAGACCACTGAAATATCTACTATCTAGAAGAATGATTATAGTCCATCCATTCAACAGAATGTCATGCAGATGTTTAAGAGAATGAAATAGGCTATGAAAGATGCCAAATTAAAAAAGCAAGTGATAGAAGAATTATACTGGGAAAAAAAACCTCTATTTAGTTGTTTTAAGATATACAGAAAATGGGGCCCCTGGGTGGCTCAGTCGTTAAGCGTCTGCCTTCAGCTCAGGTCATGCTCCCGGGGTCCTGGGATCAAGTCCCACATCGGGCTCCCTGTTCCGCGGGAAGCCTACTTCTCCCTCTCCCACTCCCCCTGCTTGTGTTCCCTCTCCCGCTGTGTCTCTGTCAAATAAATAAATAAAAAATCTTCAAAAAAAAAAAGATATACAGAAAATGGGGTGCCTGGCTGGCTCAGATGGTAGAGTGTGCAACTCTTGATCTCAGGGTTTTGAGTTCCAGCCCCACATTGGGTGTGGAGCCTACTTAATTAAAAAAAAAAAAATATATATATATATATATAAAATAAAACAAAATATAGAGAAAGTGTTTACAAAGATTAGGAGGGGAAGAAGGGTAAAAGAAGAGTCTCATTTTTATTTCTCTTTCTATATATACCATTTGAATGTTTTATGACAAGCATGTACAGTTGCCCCTTGAACAACATGGGGGTTGGGGTGCTGACTCCCCCACACAGTTAAAAATCTGCAAATTATTTCTGACTCCCCCAAAACTTAACTATGAATAGCCTACTGTTGATTGAAAACTTTACTGATGGGGCGCCTGGGTGGCTCAGTTGGTTAAGCGACTGCCTTTGGCTCAGGTCATGATCCTGGAGTCCCGGGATCAAGTCCCGCGTCAGGCTCCTTGCTCAGCGGGGAGTCTGCTTCTCCCTCTGACCCTATCCCCTCATATGCTCTCTCCCTCATTCTCTCTCTCAAATAAATAAATAAAATCTTTAAAAAAAAAGAAAACCTTACTGATACCATAAATAGTCAATTAATACCTATTTTGTATGTGGTATGAATTATATTATATGATTATATAGTTTATTCAGATTATACAGCTATAAGAACTGTATTCTTACAATAAATATGCTAGAGAAAAGAAAATGTTTTATTGATTGATTTTTAAAGATTTCATTTATTTATTTGACACAGAGAGAGCGAGAGAGCACAAGCAGGGGGAGTGGCAGATGGAGAGGGAGAGGCAGGTTCCTCGCTGAGCAGGGAGCCTGATGCGGGGCTCACTCCCAGGACCTGGGGTTCATGACCTGAGCTGAAGGCAGACGCTTAACCAATTGAACCACCCAGGTGCCCCGAAAATGTTTTATTTTTTGTTTTGTTTCGAGTTTTTATTTAAATTTTAGTTAGTTAACATGTATAGTGTAGGGGCACTTGGGTGGCTCAATCAGTTAAGTTTCCATCTCCTGATCTCAGGGTTGTGAGTTCAAGCCCCGCATTGGGCTCCATGCTGTGTGTGGAGCCTACTTAAAAAAAACAAAAACAAACAAACAAAAACCAAAGTGTAATATGGGTTTCAAGAATAGAATTTAATGAAGAAAATGTTTTAAAATCATAAGAAAAAGAAAGTACATTTTCAGCACTGTCCCATATTTGTCTGGCTCAGGCAGAAAAGTGTGCAACTCTTGATCTTGGGGTTGTAAGTTCGAGCCCTATGTTGGGTGTAGAGATTACTAAAAATAAATAAACTTAAAAAAATGACATGTATAAATGGACTTGCTCATTTCAAAATTGTGTAGTTCAAGAGCCAACTGTGTTATTTTTATCATTAAAAAAATTAAAGAATAAGTGGGAATTTCACAAGTCATTTGGCAATGTGTACACTTCTAGGATCTAGAATGTAGTATTCAGTTCCTAGATCCTACTAACCAGATTCAATCATCCTCTGCCAACTACAGTTCTGAGATACCAAAATAATAATAATAATAGTAATAATGATAATGATGATGATCATTATGTTTTTATTTTTGTTGCCTCAACCAAAAGGACACATTGCCTTTGCTCCCCACTCCCACAGAAGAGGTAGACAGGTCTATGGGAGGAGCATCTAGTGAGAAGAGTCATTTCTGCTTTACCATTTCAATATATGACAGCAGACCAGGCTCAGGAAGAAAAACAATACAAAACCAGAAACAAAACAAAACAAAACAGGATTCATCTGTGAAAAGGCAGTATGAGACTCATGAAAACAAAACAAGTTAAGGACACAACACAAGTCCACAGGGCTATCTGAAGCTCTCTAAAAGAACACTATTTGTATAACACAAAACTTGTGGGAGAATCTGCCCCAGTGATGCCTTCTGAATACCTAAAGAGGCTGATACAGGATAGGGGTTACTGGAGCAGGTTTTTAAAGATAAAGACTGGTTTGCTTGGGAAATGGATACCCTCTGGAGAACAGAACTTTCATCTGTGCTTTAAAAATAGGTTTAATGTCATTTTCATTGCTTCCCCCAATTCCCTCTTATCCATGAGACTTTGATCTTAACACTGGCATGGTTTTGCTAACCACAGTACTTTTTGGGAACACAGCTCCGAAGGCTGGCAAAGGATTTGTGTTCAGGAGATAGTATAAAACACTTTAATGTCAGAAAGATCCAGGTTCAAATCCTAACTTACATTTCAAGCTGCATTCCCATGGACAAGTTATCTACCACAATCTCTTGAGTAAAATGGAACACTGTCATGAATGGAAATAACACTCACAGCATCTAAGCAAAGTACCTTGTGCACAGAAAACCCTCATCAAATGGGAGCTATAATTCTTATATTATAAGACCTTTGCCCAGAGTGTGAGGTTGGGGGAGTGGGCAAGAGGATGGGGAGAAATACCTGAACTGTTTCTGTAATTCCACTGGGACTCGATGTTTGGCATTCTACTTTGCTAAAGATGAAATGATTCCATGAGCCCATGTAGAATATAAGTGCGTTTGACAGAATACAGCAAAGTTACGATTTATACTGTAAGCTATTTTTAAAACTGCCTGGTTAGCAAATTAAACCAGCTGTGAAAATATCCTGGTTTCCATTCACAACAAATACAAGACAAACATTCTCCTTTAATGAACCTGGCCTTGTGGCAGCACAGCGTATTCTGCATAATTCATTCCTAAGGGTTATGGAGACATCATTTTCATAAGACAGACCAAAAATAAACTATTTTCTAGGGAAAAAAAAAAGATGAGAGAGAGGAGTTTCTTTCTACAGATTTTCAGTAAATTCCATGAATTCTGTCCCATTTAGCTTAGGAGGCTACTGTCTGAATAAAAGAAGTTATGTCAATACTTCAGGCCAGCCTTTACTATGCCTCCTTTAAAATGGCATATGAAACACCAGTCTTCTCTGCAACACAGTTTTTCAAGTTCTATGGCAAAGGGAGGAGAAAAATCTGCTCATGGTCACCAAAAAGCTACTCCGAGGACTCCCAATTTCAGACTTAAAACTGATCACTCTTTAAGAAGTCAGGGGAGAGATCCTGAATTATTTAGAATGTTGGCTAAGTTATATTATTTATGATTCCTGTTCCTTTAGGGAAACAAATTGTTATTTAAACAGAAAACAGAAGTATAAATAACTAAATGAAATAGAATTTCAAGAAGTACTATTCAAATAAATTCACACTTGGAATGCAGGGAAACAATCTATTCACTTAGTGCCTTTCATAAAGACATAGCTCAGAAAAGGATATACCATCTTAAACCTTCTCTGGAAATCAACCAGACTGAATTAGTTCAATTTGGAACATCCTGAGCCTTAAAGCCTTTGCTAAAGTGTAACATAAATTTTGATTAGCCAAGTCTGAAAAACTACAAAGCCAACTTTCTTGTCCCTCCAGTTAGTCTATCTATAAACAGAAGCAATGCATTAACAGCCACCAAAGCAACTGGTGAGTTCCACAATGTGCCCAACGTATACATCCTCTGCAAACATGCTCTCAGCATGTTTAACCAAAGTACTTCTGAAGATCTGTAATAGGACCCTTTTTAAATAAACTGTGACTCACTGTTTGCTTTCTTCACCAGGAGGTGGAGTCTTGCCATGCCCTTCCATTACAAAATCCTCCTGTTCCACCTGCAAAGGCAAGCACCACAGGTCAGCAGTAGTCGGTAACTAAGATGAAACTCATTCAAAGTTCCAGGGCCTGCCCTGTGCAGAACCACATGGCCACTGCACGCTACTGCCTGGTCCAGAAGCCTGGGCCAGTGCCTTTCAATCTCCAGGTTTGCTCAAGGCATCTCTCCTTGACTGACTAGATTTGTGGAACAGAAAAGGAAGCATGTTGACTTGCAACTCACATACTTGTAACAAAAAATTAACATCCAGAATATAATAAAGAGGTGCTATTAATCAATAAAAAAAAAACAATGTACCAGAATATTTTACAAAATAACCAAGTAGGAATTTTACTGAGGAGGATGCACAAATGAAAAGATATTCAATCTCATGTCAACCAGGAAAATGCAAATTAAAACCACAAAGAGATACCATTTCACAAATACCAGGTTAGCTAAAATTAAAAAATTGGGCAATACCAAGTGTTGGGAAGGATACGGAGTAATAGCAATGCTCATCTACTCCTGGTGGGAAGAAAAATTGGTACAACTACTTTTCAAAAAGTTTACCACTATCTGGTACATTTGACTATGTATTTACTGTACAAACTAGTGGTTGCACTTATAGATAAATACTCTAGAGAAACTTTTACACATACATAAAAATATTTTTGTAGAATTATTTTTAACAGGAAAAAAACCCAGAACGAACATCCATCAATAGTAAAATAAATAAATATACTATGGTGTTTTCAGATGACAGAACACTATACTATATGAAAACGAATGAACTATAGCTACACACCACAACCTAGGTGAGTTACAAAAACACAATACTGGGTGAAAAAGCAAATCACAAAAGAACACACACACAGTATAATTTCATTATATAATGTTCAAATATACACATTTTAAAACTGCATATATGCGCATGTATATAGACGTGTATGTGCGTATATATAGTTTTTATTTTTTAAAGATTTTACTTATTTGTGAGAGAGAGAAAGCACAAGACAGGGGAGAGTCAGGGGAAAAGCAGACTCCCCGTTGAGCAGGGAGCCCGATGTGGGATTCGACCCTGGGACTCCAGGATCATGACCTGAGCCGAAAGTAGTCGCTCAACCAACTGAGCCTGGCGTCCCTTTATATAGTTTTAAAAAACTATTTTATTATTATTTTTAAAGATTTTATTTATTTATTTGACAGAGAAAGTGAGAGAGCACAAGCAGGGGGAGCAGGAGAAGGAGAGGGAGAAGCAGGCTCCCCGCTGAGCAGGGAACCTGATGCAGGGCTTGATCCCAGGACCCTGGGATCATGACCCAAGCTGAAGGCAGATGCTTAACCACCTAAGCCACCCAGGCGCCCCTAAAAACTATTTTTAAAAAATAAATGACATACAAAATTTAGGCTAGTGATTGTCTTAGGCAGGGGCATATGCAGGGTCCTGGGGTATGCCTGTGGTCTACTTCTTGGCCTGTGTAGTAGGTATATGGGTGTTTGCTTTATAATTATTCTTTTAACTATGTATTTCTTTCTTTTATATATGTATGGTTTATTTCTCAATACAAATATCAAAGGGGAAAAAAAGCATTTTACTATTCCAAATGGTTTATTGATCTGGAAGATCAGTGACAGAGACAGAGCTACCTCCATAAATGGAGATTGTCTATGAGTCCTATGAAAACTCTCCCAAAAGGCGTAACTTAAAAAAAATCAAACGGATGTATTCAAGGAAGGAGATAGGACTATTCCCAATTTAGAAAAATAGTTATAGGACCTAATAATGTGGAAGACAGACAACAGTAACATAGACACACACACCACAATGAAACCAAAGAAAACACATGGCTTTCCAATTGTCTTCTCCAGTCTTCATTTCTCAAGAATGCTAGAGAAGATGGGACAATATTAAGAGGCTAAGTTTCAAAAAGGACAGAAAAGTAAAGAGGTGTTCGTAATTTCCATTGAAGAAACTGGAGGAAGCATACACAAGAATAATTAAAGACACACACTGTGCATACTGTAAAATTCAAACCAGGTTTTGACTTTATTCTTAGGAAATTCCTGACTCTGCAGCCTATGGGACTTAACCAAGGAGAGGGAGGATTCTCCCATCCTAAGTTTACACTTAGGATATAAAAACTCTAGAAGAAAAAAACAGGATTGCAGAGGAAAACTTATGAGGAGCCAGAGATGACCAGGCTGTGTTACAGGAGTGTATACGTTATGTTTTTAAAAATTACTGTGTTGTGCATTTTATACACTTAACTATATAAATGTTATGCCTTAATTAGGAAAAGCAGGTAACAAACTGTTTAAATTTGTTAAGCTTCTTGCAAACTCAAGCATCAATCATTTTCTTAAAGACAAGAATGACTATTCTCTCATTTATATGTTATAGAAATTTCTTGATCCTTCATCTTTAAAAATTCTCTCCAATTAAAGAGCTCTAAAAAAAAAAAAAAAGAGCTCTAAATTGTGTACCTTGGCCTCTGCTTAGTAGTTGCTTTTTTTAAAAAAAGGCTTATCTATAATCATTTTCTAATTAAATACAATAATAATGAGAAGGTCGAAGAACCCACCGCTTTGACAATCTCCTCCATGTGTGCTCCCAATCTTTAACTCCAGCCCCCATGTTATGCATACTAGTCTTCTTCACTTGGATGGCCCAATAAGTTCCAAAATGAAACATCATTGTTGTCCTCAAATTTCTTCTCCTTTATTATATCCCCTATCTCTGCAAATGGTACCATCATTCACTAAGATCCTCAAACAGGAAATCTATACAGGTATTCCCCACTTTCTGAAAGTCTGTGTTATACCACTTCACTTCTACAGAAGACCTATGTTAATACCTAGTTTTGTGAACCAAAAAAAAAAAAAAAATCTGAAGAGGATTTTTGCTTTTTTACAAAAAAAGGCAAAAAGCAAAGTAGCATTCAGTGTTGGTTTTGCAGCCAGCCGTTATAGAGGCATGTGAACCCTGAGCAGCGAGAGGGGCACCACCAAGCTCCTTCCCTGGGACTACACTCAGCATCTCAGCATCCAGATGCCAGGGCTTGGAACTTTGTGAGCATCTGTGCTTTATCTTGAGTTATTTTGAGCATCCGTTAGCAAGATGTGTCCTAAAGCATCAGAAAAGCCTAGGAGAGGTTATTCTCTGGGTTTGGGAATACGCCAAGATTTTTCCATATAAAGAAATGGTCATTGTTTCTTGGTTTTATGAAACATTTGGACTTACAAAAGATTTCATAGGAAAGCTCTACCTTCAGATAGCAGGGGAAACTTGTCATCACACAAGAATCTAAGGTTCCCTCCTTAACCCCACATCCTACTAATCACCAAGTATTACGGCTTTTACCTCTTCAATAGCTCTCATATCCATCACCCCTTCTTTATTCTCTTTAACTGCCATAGTTAAAAGCCAGCTTCTCTAATTCTCACTACTACATAAGCTTCTCATTGGTCTTTGTGCTTCTGGGTCCCATCTCATTTTAATACATCCTCCAAACCACTTCCATCAAGTGGGCTTTGTAAATGCAAATCTTATTGCGCATCGTTCTCCTTGAAATTCTTCAGTGGTGCTCCATCACCTAACTCTGAGGGATAAAAATTCAGTTCGTTTGTCCAAACAATCTTTTCATCTGCCTCTGCCTCACCCACTCTGAACCCCTGGTGGGGCATACAATTCCTTAATCCCTGTACATTTACATGTACTGTTTGCTCTTGCCTAGAAGCCCTGGCCTTCTGCCCACATACAGTTCAAATTCCTCCTCATTCCTTTAAGTGCCAATTCAAATGCCTTTCCCCAGAAGACACCATCTCCTGCAGCAGGGTTCACAACTTTTCTCAGTCTCCATCACATTAGAGGGCAATAAAAACAGTCCAGAAAGATCACTGCTCCTTATTGCCACTTCCTGTTTTTCTCACTTTCCACTTCCAGTCCCTTCCCATCCTTCTTTCTTTTCTACAGATTTCATGAACACTTTTGGACTTGATTTGATGATCTCCACCACTCCTCCCCCTTGACTTCATTTGCAGGAGTTTCAAGATTTTTTTTTTTTAAAGTAGGCTCCATGCCCAGTGTGGATCTCCATTCGGGGCTTAAACTCAACCCTGAGATCAAGACCTGAGCTGAGATCAAGAGTTGGAAGCTTAACTGACTGAGCCACCAGGTGCCCCTCAAGATTTTTATATATAAAATTTATACCATGTCTTCACCTTTCTCCCACTACCATTCATTCATTCAACAAACATTTACTCAGCACATATTATACACTAGGTGCTGGGCTGAGATAAAGGTGAAGAAGATAGTCGTGCCCTCAAAAAGCTTGCAGATTATTGAGAAAGACAAACAAAAACCAGTTACCAGCATTGTATGGTGACAGATGGTAGCTACACTTGTGGTGAGCATAATTTCATAACCATAACAGCATAATGTACAGACCTGTAGGATCACCTGAAACTAATGTAATGCTGTGTGCTGACTCTACTCCAATTAAAAAAAGACAAAACTCATGACCATACAGTGGGAGAAAGCAATGCAAGGATATGGGAAGGGCGCTTGACACAGCATGAAGGAGTCAGACACACTAAACCAACCCTACGCAGGCGACTTTCCTCCTTCCTGATTCAGCTAGGGAACGGGCAGGACCCAAGCTGCTCCACACCAAGGTCCCTCAATTCTGAAATATGATTCAGGCCACAAGCTCCTCTTGCACTCCCTCCCTCCGTCTGAACCCGGGAAGAGTCACTCTAACTTCTAGTTCTGCTGTTTGTCTTCAGTGTCTATTTAGAGGCTCCCCTGACAAGCATATCAGTGATTTTTTTCCTTAGTGCCCTAGATTTGCTCAACACCGACTTGTTTTTAGGATATCTCTGCCCTACCAATCCCTTAACTTTTTCTCCTCTGCTCCGGGAATACAGAGCATAGCTGGAGAAAGTTACAAAACTGGTTCCCTTTCAACCTTACGCCAATTAACTTCCACTCAGGGCTCACATGTCAGCACCTGGCCTGGA